ACAGTGTTCTAGCATGACATTAAAAAGATAAGCTATACTCTCTTTGCTTTATTTTCAAGTATTGGATACTTTTTATTAACACATTTGTCCATTTATTTAGTCAGTAAATTTTAGTATCTATATGCCCCAGGGATGCAGAGATAAAAACACAGTCCCTGCCCTTAGGGATGCATAACCTTATGAAAAAGACCAACATTCAAAATAAAAGTTGCAGAGTACCTGGGTGGCTCAGTTGGTTGAGCATCTGACCAGCTCAGGTCATGATCTCATGGTTCATAAGTTTGAGCCCCGCATTGGGCTCTGTGCTGGCAGTGTGGAGCCTGGGATTCTCTCTTTCCTTCTCCCTGTCTCAAAATAAATAAAATTGAAAACAAAAACAAAATAAAAATTGCAATACAGAGTAACAGGCATTTTCCCCAGGCTCCGGAGGGGTGAGGGGGGTCCACCCAAACCCTAGCTGTGTATCATGTCAATCCATCCACCATTTCCGCACCTGTATATTATAATACCTCTCCTAGAGCCTGGTAGGTGAATAATAATATATAGAGATATATATACGTCAGTACTCAGCTCAGTGGGGTGTGTCATGTGGCAGTCTCAGAACCGGAGGGGAAGGAAGAGACAGGTTGAGCAGGAAAGAGGTGAATAAGTTTTTCCTGTTGCTGTTAAAATTACTGCATGATAACTAATAACAACCCTTGTATTTCAGAAACACTCCCTTGAAGAAGGATTTATTTCCAGATTAATGGAGCAGAGGAGACCTTTCTGAAATTTTACTTTGGGACTCTAGAATTTAGTTATAACATGGCAGACTGTTTGGAGGGGGGAGATTGCAGAAGCCTGTCTGAGGACAGACGTCTCAACTACCTTCACTCTCCCTTAAATGAGAATTCTACTGCATGTAGCAGCGAATGGAGGTGACTTCAGTTTTGCGGGCCCTCCTCTACTCAGGAGTCTGTTTCCCTGCCTCCATGGTCACCAGTTTTCAGCTCCCTGAGAAGACACATGACTTTCTATCTCTGGGTTTAATTCTCCTAGCAGAGCCCCCTAGGGTAGGAGACCTGCATTTCAGTTCTTTATCCTTATGGATTCGATTCTGTAAATACCTAATGAGCAATTATTAATGTAAAGACAAAGAATAACATTCTTCCCCTGGGAGCCCGCAGCTTGATGGGGGAAGTCAGAAACCTGGAAACAATTCTAAAGCAGGGACTCCTGATCTTGGCTGCACATTAGGATCACCTGGGGGCTGCGCTCCAGGCCAATTAAATTAGAATCTCTGGGGGTAGGACCAGGACATCAGTATTTTTAAAAAGCTCCCTGGGAGAGTCCAGTGCGTTGCTAAGCTAGATAGAGAACCGTTGTTCTAAAGGAAAGTCCACTGGGAAAATGCTGCAGTAAAGGACTAACAAAGTGCTGTGTGAACAAGGGAACCACAGCCGTTCTGGATATGTTAACAATCTCAGCCTCTGTTGACCACATTTCAGCCCATGAGTACAGAAAATGTAACCTCTCATTGTAACATTGGGGAGAATTTAGGGCAGTTTGATTGTAGCATTTAGAAACTGTATACTCTGGGAGGTGTGGTTGGTAGGAAACTATGTCCCCTAAAGGAAAGGGGCCCCAAAAAAGATCACCCCCAAATTCATTCCACGTACTCTCTCTCTTCTTTGGAATGTTTTTTTCACTCGCTTGTCTTCCTGAAGAAGTCCTAGAAGTCCTCAACTCAAACGTCACCTCCTTTGTGAAGTCTCTTTCTCGTATCCCACGCAAAATTGGGTCCTTGTTTTTCTTTGCCACTTAGCTGCTTAGTCGATTACAATTAGTTTATATATTTTCCTTCTTATGGCCCTTACTTATCTTCATTTCCCCAGTACCTAGCATAGTGTCTTGGTTTACTGAATGAATAAACAGAGCCGCAGCGGTTGTAAGTAATGTCCAGAAAGTCATGCCATCACTGGGGGAGACCTGGACTCTGGAGCCCCTCAAGGCCCCCTGGTCAGGTCCCTGAGCCACAGGAACCTTCGTCCTCGAGGCGTGGGGCTAGAGAAGTGGGCAGACGTGCTCGGGTGTAATGCAGCTGGAGGAGAGGATAGAAGTCCTCACAGTGCTTTAGCTGTGGTGGTGAACTTGAGTTTCATCTGCAAAATTTTGCTATGAGAGGGAGAGAGAAACAAAAGTAAGTTCACAGTCTTCAAAGTCTGTGTGATGACTACAGAAAAAAGGCCATGCCACCAAGTCCTGGTTTATTTACGCCATAGGCATCCCCCAAAAGTTGAGCACAGCTCTTTCTGCCTGGGAAAATTGCCTGTCTTTTACTTTTATTTTATTTAAAAACATTTTTTTAATGTTTACTTATTTTTGAGAGACAGAGCATGAGCAAGGATGGGGCAGAGAGAGAGGGAAACAGAATCTGAAGCAAGCTCCAGGCTCTGAGCTGGCTGTCAGCACAGAACTCGACGTGGTGCTCAAACTCATGAACCACGAGATCATGACCTGAGCTGAAGTCGGACGCTTCACCGACTGAGCCACCCAGGCACCCCTACTTTTAAACCTTAAATCGTTATTATATTTTATTTTATTTATAAGTAATTTCTATACCCAGTATGGGGCTCAAACTCACAACCCTGAGATCAAGAGTCACATACTCTACCGACTGAGCCAGCCAGGTGCCCCTAAAGTTTAAATATTTAAAAAAAAATTTTTTTTGGCATCTTGTAAGTTTTACACATATAAAGGTGAAGAGATCATTTCAATTTTATAAGTACAAGGGTCATGCATTCTAGATTTTCTAGGACAGTGCTAATTTTAGATCTTACATTCTGTTTTCAGGCTGCATATCCTGATTTTTTTTTTTTTTTTTAATATGGAGAGTATGGTTGGTATTCTTATAATATCACCAGGCCAGCCATGCTTAAAGGCCTTCTAGTAGTCAAATTTCTAATTATCTTACATTTCTTTTGAGAAATTATGTAAGGCTGCCTTATGAACAAAAAAGCCTGAAGGTCATGCAGGACTGGCATTTACTACATCGCACTGAACGCTAGATTTTTGTTGAATGTGGTTTCAGGGTGAGAACAGTATATATTAACACTCTTCTCCCTACTGCAAATTAGCGCAAAAGTCCTTCAAGGAAAAGTGGGCCATTAAGAAGTGTTCTGCCATTAAAAACTGGTCTTTCATTAAGAACTGTTCTTGGCAGGGGCCTGGTTGGCTCAGTCGGTGGAGCATGCGACTCTTGATCTTGGGGTTGTGAGTTGGAGCCCCACATTGGGTGTGGAGATTACTAAAACATGAAATCCTTAAGAAAAAAAACAACAAAAACTGCTCTGTAATCCCACCTCTAAACTTCAGAAACCTTTCTTTGTGAAGCTAGTCACAAGAGCCACTGACAGGGATGCTGGGCCCTGCTCCCCGCTGTGCCGCAGGCCACAGGGAGCTGCTCTGGTTATTGTGGATACACGCGCTGTGCTTTCTCTTTCTGCCTAATAGATTCAGACCAAATTAGGCCTTAATCATCCAACTACAACCAAAGTCACCCCGATTTTAATTGAACAGCCCAAAATTCTGTGTTTTACCTATTCAAAAGTATAACTTTTATTCTTACCAAATAGTACCTGACAAAATCAAAGGCTTAACTTTATACTATTCTTCTCTATCTAAGGATCATAAGCATTTATTTGTTTGTTTGTTTATTAAGTTTCTTTGAGCGAGACAGAGACAGCATGAATGAGGGTAGGGCAGACAGAAGAAAGAGGATCCCAAGTAGGCTCCACACTGTCAGCACAGAGCCCAATGTGGGGCTCAAACTCACAAACCATGAGATCATGACCTGAGCTGAGATCAAGAGTTGGACGCTTAACCAACTGAGCAACCCAGGCACCTCAAGGATCATAAGCTTTTAAAAACCTGTTGAGTAACAGTTATAGTTGGCTGGTTTTAATCATCCGTTTGCCATAAGCTTTCCAGTAACCTGGTTACATTCTTTAGAGGACACGTTGTATGTTCTTTAGTCAGTATGTCATTTTAGGAAACAGTAACATCAAGGTACATCATTTGTAAGTAGCATGCTATTAGAATGTGGACCATGTCATCTTTTGGAAAAAACAAGGTATTTTCAGATGTCATTAAATTAGGAGCTACTTCTGGCCCCTATGAAAGTGTTATGGGGGCGCCTGGGTGGCTTAGTCGGTTAAGCGTCCGACTTTTGCTTTGGTCATGATCTTGCGGTTCGTGGGTTTGTGCCCTTCGTCTGGCTCTGTGCTGACTTCCAGCTCTGAGCTTGGATCCTGTTTCAGTCTGTGACTCCCTCTCTCTCTGACCCTCCCCTGCTCACGCTGTCTCTTTCTCTCTCTCTCCTAGAAATAAATAAAACATTTAAAAAAAAAAAAAAGAAAGTGTTATGTACAGTTGCTCCATGTACTTTCCAAATGCTTCTGTACTGGAAATTCTGCGCAAGTGAGAATGGGGCCATCTCTGGGAGCTAGCCAGGCTGTCTGCACAGATTCCTGTCGGCTGTTTCCATAGCTGACATCCGTGTGTTTCCATCTGCCCAAGTTTTCTCGCAGCCTCACTGCCTCAGTGTGCTGACGTTTAGGAACTTCTTACCCACTTGCCCTGCATTCCATTTGGGAGTAGCACCCTTAACAATGAGCCAGATTCGAGCGGCAACCTTTGTGGTCCCCAGCGGGTGAAGGCAACGAAGGTATATCTGGGCATGGAGCTGGGCACGAATTCTACCTCACGTGAGTAAGGGTCAAGAGAGGGAGCGGCCAGACAGAGCCTGAGCTGGGATCAGCCAAAACAGCTCCTAAAACGAAAGAGAAAGAAGCGGAGCCAGAGCTTTTTCGGGATGGGAGTCCAGGGTTCCCGCCAGTACACAGCTCCTACTCACTGACAGGTGACAGCCAGTCTCTGTGTCAGATCAGATTGTTAGCCTTAGGAGTCGCCCTGTATAACGCCATTTTAACAGGAGGCCTCATTCTTCTTTTCTTATCCAGAGCTAAGAGGAAAAAAGTGAATATGGTTTTTGCTCACAGAATGGAGAACAGCAAGCCGCCTTTGGTCATCCCCACGCCCCTGGTGCCCCTCCGAAACCACAGCTGCACCGAGACGGCCACACGCCTGCCAAGCCGTGACCTGACGGACTTACGTGGGGAGCACGGCTGGATGAGCAACAGGACGGACCTGCAGGACGGACTGAGACCTGGGGAAGTGGCCACGGCCAGCATTTTCTTCGGGGCCCTGTGGCTCTTCTCTGTGTGTGGCAACTCTCTGGTTTGTGTGGTCATCCACAGGAGCAGGAGGACACAGTCCACCACCAACTACTTTGTGGTCTCCCTGGCGTGTGCCGACCTTCTCGTCAGCCTCGCCAGCACGCCTTTCGTCCTGCTTCAGTTCGCCACGGGGAGGTGGACGCTCGGCAGCGCGGTGTGCAAGCTTGTGCGGTATTTTCAGTATCTCACCCCGGGCGTCCAGATCTACGTCCTCCTCTCCATCTGCATAGACCGGTTCTACACCATTGTCTATCCCCTGAGCTTCAAGGTGTCCAGAGAAAAAGCCAAGAAAATGATCGCCGCGTCGTGGGTCTTGGATGCAGCCTTCGTGACCCCCGTGCTCTTCTTCTACGGCTCCCCCTGGGACAGTCATTGCAACTACTTCCTCCCTGCCTCGTGGGAAGGAACCGCCTACACGGTCATCCATTTCTTGGTGGGCTTTGTGATTCCTTCCGTCCTCATCATCTTGTTTTACCAGAAGGTCGTGAAGTACATCTGGAGAATAGGCACCGATGGCCGGACAGTGCGGAGGACGATGAACATCGTCCCGAGGACGAAGGTGAAAACGATCAAGATGTTCCTCATTTTAAATCTACTGTTCCTTCTCTCCTGGCTGCCTTTTCACGTGGCTCAACTGTGGCACCCCCCCGAGCGGGACTCCAAGAAAAGTTCCCTTGTTTTCACAGTCATCACGTGGATCTCTTTTAGCTCTTCAGCCTCTAAACCTACACTCTATTCCATTTACAATGCCAACTTTAGGAGAGGGATGAAAGAGACTTTTTGCATGTCCTCAATGAAGTGTTACCGAAGCAATGCCTATACGATCACAACCAGTTCAAGGATGGCCAAAAAAAACTACGTTGGCATTTCAGAAATTCCTCCCACGGCCAAAACTATAACCAAAGACTCGATCTATGATTCATTTGACAGAGAAGCCAAGGAAAAAAAGCTCGCTTGGCCCATTAATTCAAATCCACCAAATACTTTTGTCTAATTTCGCAGAGTTCTTTCAACTATCCTTGTTGCCAGAGATTAAAAAGCTTTAACTCTAAAAACAGAAGCTGTTTATATGCACTTTTTTGCCATCAACTTTTCTGAGGGAAATGTTTTATTTTGTAAAATGCATTTTACTATTGATTAGAATTTCTGTGGTTTTCTTTTGGCTGCTTTTTGTTTGAGGGGAAGCTTTCACCTTGAGCTGTAGTTAATAGTCCTTTTACTCTATTAGTTACGTGCGTAAAAGAGAGAATGCTTTCCTACTTTTTATTTACTGTTATTAGGTCCCAAGAGCATAAACCGTACACATAGCCTCTGATTAATGACTCACCTTAGTTTTATTCTGTCTCCTTTTTCTCCTCCCTACTGAAATTTTATAACCATGGGCTTCTGTTGCAAATGAAATCTTCTGTGACACACATTTCAGAGGCTTGTATTTCTCTAAGTAACATTGAGGGAGTATTAATATTGTACATGTTTTTACATTACCGTCTTCCAAGTAACCACTGTCCAGATCTCCTGTAGAAAGCACTCCATATGGTGGAATATACTGGAACTTTCTGGGAAGTCCTCTGTGATTAAATTTGATTCAAGATTCTTAGGCAAAGAAAACTTGTAAAGCTGCCTAATTTCTCTCTTTCTCTCCCTCTCCCTTTCTCCCTCCCTCTCTCTCTTTGTCTCTGTCTCTCTCTCTCCATCTCTCATTTTCATTCTCCCTTAACCTAAGCAGCTGATGAGGTCTTGAAAGTTCCAAGGTCAATATGATGTTTCTCTCACATCTGTGTCCCATCTAGGCTATGTCTAGAATGTTTACTTCCCTTCTTTGAGTTAAAGTAAAGCAAACGAGTAGGCGTCCTTGCTAGGCAAGCCCTTTAGAAAATGCCAGTGGGAGAAACGACAGATGGCATCTCTCTTTGCTCTGCACTTCAGGAAGAGGGTTTTGGCTGCCCGGCCCTATTGCTGTCCACAGAGATGGGAAGCACAGGGCACGCCTTCTTCATCCTCCTAGACACTCAGGCGTGAGGCCGTACCTCCAGCCAGCGCCGCTTTTCCCTCATCTCTGTCCAGAATACATGATCATACCCTGGCCAAGCTCAGACTCTTCTTGGCCTGTGCTATCTTGAGGTTTTCTTCTCTGCTTGTCAGCTTTTTCTTACTTTCAGTCTGGGTCCAGCACATTTTAAAAACGTTCCTATTTAAACAATAAAGCGCTTACAGACAAGACAGGTATGTGTTTTCATATCCCAGTTAAGAGCTGCAAATAATAATTCCAGTTCTTCAGCGATTTTACCTGCATCATCTCATTTTGTCCCCTCGGGAATTCTGTGATGTACCTTTTCTTGTTATCTGTGCTTCGTAGATGGGAACCTGGAATGCCACATGTTGTGACTTGCCCATGTTGGAGTGTGACAAGGCTGATATTCACACTCGGGGTCTCTAACTGCAAGTACATCACTCTTCCCTTGGCATTACAGGTGTCAGGTGTCCCTCTAAGGAACACACGAGTGGCCAGACCCACCCAGGCCTCGGCGGGTCTCCTGGTTGCTGCTTCAATGGAAATCTAATGTCTAAGAGAATCTGGCCATTCTTAAAAGGAGAGTCTGGGTGGAATTTAATGAGCTGACCCTCACCTTTTCTTTCGCTGTGGATGGGTTCTTGGACTTGTACTGAACGTCCAAGATATAGACACAGGGAAATGAGACAAGACTGTGTTCGATATTTAGGGCAAGGAACAAGAACAAGAAAGCATTTCATCTACAAAACATCTACAGAGCCGGTATTTTTAAATAGAGGTGCTTCCTTCAAGTTCAAAAGGCAAAAAGAACATCTCACATTTTTCTTTTCCTTTTTCCTCCTCATCTTCTTCCTTATCCCATCAGCAGATGGCACTCTAAAATGACAAAATGAGCTAGGCATTTCTCTCACTTGCCTCTCGAATTCTGTGGTTCAGACTTGTTAAAAAAAAAGAGAAGACCTTTGCATTTTTGGCCATTTTTTGGTCCATACTGTTGGTCTATTTAAAAAGAACATGTTTAGGGGCGCCTGGGTGGCTTAGTCGGTTAAGCGTCCGACTTTCGCTTAGGTCACGATCTCGCGGTTCGTGGGTTCGAGCCCCGCGTCAGGCTCTGTGCTGACTGCCAGCTTTGAGCCTGGAGCCTGTTTCAGTCTGTGACTCCCTCTCTCTCTGACCCTCCCCTGCTCACGCTGTCTCTCTCTCTCTCTCCTAGAAATAAAAAAAAAAAAAAAAAAAGAACATGTTTAGGGTGGCTTAGTCGGTTAAGCGTCCGACTTTCGTTTAGGTCATGATCTCGCGGTTCGTGGGTTCGAGCCCCGTGTCGGGCTCTGTGCTGACTGCCAGCCCAGAGCCTGGAGCCTGTTTCAGAGTCTGTGTCTCCCTCTCTCTCTGACCCTCCCCTGCTCACGCTGTCTCTCTCTCTCTCCTAGAAATAAATAATTAAAAAAATATTAAAATAAATAAAAAGAACATGTTTAAAAGTTGGATTGTAAAAAGTTAAATTTAATTCATCTCAGTTTTGTTTTTATATATGTTTTTAGGTCTCAGTTTAAACTGAAAAAGACTAGATGAGTACTAGCTCCATTCTATCTTCAATGTTCTGTGAGTTTATCCCAATAGGTGGAAATTCAGTGAGACAGTCTCACAGCTGTATTATTTATTATAGGTCATGAGACTGTGATTTGGTTGACACTATAAAAGTAGGGTTTTTTTTAAATGAATCCCCCAAATAATGACAAAAGTGTCAACCAAATAATAGTCTCATGACCTGTAATAATTCAGCTCTATTCTCTTAGCATGTTGATAATTCACTGTAATTTAGTTTATTTAAAAAATTTTTTTTCAATGCTTAGTTTTGAGAGACAGAGCTTGAGTAGGGAAGGGGCAGAGAGAGAGGGAGACATAGACTCCAAAGCAGGCTCCAGGCTCTGAGGTGTCAGCACCAAGCCCAATGCGGGGCTCAAACCCGTGAACTGTGAGATCATGACCTCAGCTCTAGTCAGACGCTTAACCCACTGAGCCTCCGAGGCAGGCACCACTAGTCTTATTTAATATTCAGAATTCGAGTTGTTTCACTTGATCCTGAAATCAGAGGAAACTGGATATAATGCACAGATTGATGAGGATTTGCCTAAGTCCTAGCAGTACAAGAGCAAGATTCACCGTAGCTCGTAGCTGCCTAGCAAGAATCAGAGATGAATCACAGGGAGGCAGCCTATTGGAGACAGAAAAAACATTACCCCCGTCTCCTTACCAGGTGCATACGAGGTGCACCATGAATCTGGACCCACATAGCCTCCAAACAGGAGTTCAAGAAAAGTGATAGTGGGGAACAGGTCCAGATGATGCTCATACCAGGCTCTCAGAGACTGTCAGGGGAAGGGGCAGGGATGCATCCTTTAAGGTGAAGTTTGAGTTCTTTTCCTCTAATCTTCAGTGAAAGCATTAGTCCAACCAGCCTGCTGCTAGAAGTCCACAGCATGTCCTGCTTCTCGGTTGACCTTACATGCCAGGTTTTTACCCAAGATGCCTGATTCCCTGGGCCAGAGTTCCTTGCTCACGAAGGACAAGTTTACCCAGGTGGGGTGCCACCACATATGTGGGAGCAGAGTCCTTTGCCAGATAAGGTGGACACAGCCTTGCCCTTTCCCTTCCAGCCTTGCTGCCCTCTGTTCAAACTCACTATGAAGCAACATAACCAAAAGAGGTTGGAGCTACTGGACCAGGACCAGCCTCAGGTATAAGCTCCTCTGGAAGGGCTGCATGTAAAAGCAACAAAGAATTACAGATTTTTGGAGTAGAAGGAACATTGAGAGACCTAGCCCATGCCTCTCTGTGTTTAGGAAAGGAAACCACAACCAAGAGAGGTCAAATTAGGAGTAAACTAAAATGTCTTCTACCAACGAGTCCAACATTCTTTTATATATATAAGGTTTATTTATTTAGAGAGAGAGAGAGAGGGAGAAGAGCACACACAAGTGGGGAAGGGACAGAAAGGGAGAGAGAGAATCCCAAGCAGGCTCCGTGCTGTCAATGCAGAGCCTGACGCAGGGTTCAATCTCAGGAACCGTGAGGTCATGACCAGAGCTGAAATCAAGAGTCAGATGCTTAACCTACTGAGCCAGTCCGGTGCCCCCCAGTCCAACTTTCTTTTAACTTCACCATTCTGCTTGCCATGACATTCATTTATTGGAGAAAAAAAATCCTTACTGTGTGCAGAAGCCTACTAAGAGAATAAACAATCACCCACTGTTCGTTAACCTGCTAATTCATCTGGAACAGAGACAACCTTGGCATGCTCTAATTAGAGAACAGGGGACACAAACTGACTTTGTCTAAGTGTTTTTGCAGAATGACCACTTGATGGCACTGTGGCTAGTAGGCAGAGCCCACCACCTCTTCGTGATGCCTGTCACATGGGTGATTTCTGAGAGGTCCTGGTCTCCTAGCAACAAGTCAGGGAAAATTGCTGAGCACAAGAAGCAGCTGTAGATTAACTAATCAATCAGTGTGTTCAAAAGACGGAGCATCTAAACATTTGGAGGAAATTCTAAAATAATGAATACTCCTTACAGACATGAAATCACTAGTCAAAATATTATTTTAAATCCATTTTACAAATGGTATCATTTTCACAAAACCCCATCAGACACCAAACTGGGGGCAGTGCCACCCACACTTACCAAGGCCTCTTTCTGTCTTTTCTGTTCCCTCTACCGTTCGATTCTGAGAATTCGTGGCCCTTTTCATGGCAGTGCAATCTAAACTTTCCCTAAAAGTCAATATTCCTATGCTCCTGGTGAGTAGGCAGTTAAGTTTATTTTAAGTTGAGTTTATTTTAGGGCCCTCTCATTTCCCTCGGACCGAGGGAAATTAAATTTTTTGATCCCCTATAATCTGGGCCATTCTAAACTTTTTGCTCTACCGAACAAAGCTCTGTATTCTTTTCCAGAAGAAGTGTCTTTAAAAGATTGCTTTTGAAAACTCCCCATCAGCCCTGCATTATACAATTAGGGCTATCCAATTAGGATTCACTTATAATTTGAAGAATGTGTGATTTTAGTTCTGCAGGAAAGAGTCCCAAAAAGTCCTGGCCTCTGCAGTGAGGGGTGCGTGTCTGTCTGCTTCCAGGATTATAATGTAGGTCTGGAAGCTTGAGACTACAGTCTGGTTTTGAGCAGGCAGTCAGTAAAGTCGTTCAGGGTATTTGCCCACAACAGCTAGATACAGATTAAAACTCCTCTAAGGGAGTTTTTTTGTTTTTTTAAGTCTGTAATCTAAGCTGTAGCTGTAACATTCCCTGGCTCCCCTGTACGTGTTCAAGGATTCTGGTTCTGGCAGCCTGCCACTTTTTTTTTTTTTTTAAGTTTTACTTATTTATTCTGAGAGAGAGAGAGAGAGAGCACGTGTGTGCACACACGTGCACAAGATGCGGAGAGTGACAATCCAGAGCAGGAGGCTCCACGCTGTCATTGCAGAGCCCAATGCGGGGCTCAAACTCATGAACCGTGAGACCATGACTGAGCCAAAACCAAGAGTCAGAAGCTTAACCAGCTGAGCCATCCAGGGAATTTTGAATGAATCCTCTTTATTCTGCTTCCCTATCTTTCAAAGAACAGTCTCTTTAAGAAGACTATATTCTAGGGGCGCCTGGGTGGCTTAGTCGGTTAAGCGTCCGACTTTCGCTTAGGTCATGATCTCGCGGTTCGTGGGTTCGAGCCCCGCGTCGGGCTCTGTGCTGACTGCCAGCTCGGAGCCTGGAGCCTGTTTCAGAGTCTGACTCCCTCTCTCTCTGACCCTCCCCTGCTCATGCTGTCTCTCTCTCTCTCTCTCCTAGAAACAAATAAAACATTAAAAAATTAAAAAAAAAAAAAAGAAGACTATATTCTAGGGGTGCCTGGGTGGCTCAGTCATTAAACACTTGACTTCAGCTCAGGTCATGATCTTGCAGTTCATGAGTTCGAGCCTTGCGTCGGGCTCCGTGCTGACAGCTCGGAGCCTGGAGACTGCTTCAGATTCTGTGTCTCCCTCTCTCTCTGCCCCTTCCCTGCTCATGCTGTTTCTCTCTCTCTCTCAAAATAAAATATTAAAAATGTTTTCAAAAAAAAAAAAAAAGACTATATTCTGCTAGTAGGACCCTGAGTGTGCTTGATAAGGACATGGCACAGACGCTTGGACACAGAGAAGTGGACACAGGAGTTATGTGGTAGAGACAACGGGCAGCACGATTGCTGAGAAGAATAGATACATACTCTGTCCGTCAGTCTAGATTCATGTCCACTTCTGGGCTATCTGATTCTCTAGGCAGATATATTCTACTTGAACGACCTTTTGAAAATGAGTGGAAATTAGGTACAACATTCCAGCGATATATCCAGCCAGCAAAATTTTCCTTAGTCATAAACAGGCTGATTGTTGCTTTCAAGGGCTCAGAAGTCAACTTCCGTGTTGAAGTTTGGGTTCTGCTTACCACCCGTTTAACCCAGCAAATTATTCTCGAACCACAGCTTCTCCATTTTTAAAATGGGGAACATAGCGGTGCCCACCTGTACTAGAGTTCTCTAGAACCCTAAAAACAGAACCAGTGGGATGTAATTAGATGATAGCTAGCTAGCTAGATGGTAACATTTGGAGGAAGTGGCTCAGGCCATTGAGGGGACTGACAAGCTTGAAATGTGCAAGGCAGGCAGGCAGGCAGGCAGGCAAGCTGGTGTTGCAGTTTCTGAAATGTATGAGACGGGCCAGCAAGCAGGATTTGATGTTGTAGTTTTGAGGCAGAATTGCTTCTTCTCTGGGAAACCTCATTTTTGTTCATAATACCTTTAACTGATTCGATAAGGCCCACCATATTCTCAAGAATAATCCTTATTTAAAGTCAACTGATCATAGATGTTAACCACAATCTACAAAATACCTTCACTACATCTAGATTAGTGTCTGATTAAATGACTAGGTACTATAGCTAGCTAAATTGACAGGGGAGACTAACCATCACACCACTTTATAGAATTGTTGCA